GAATTTGCGGGGTCTCGACAAATTGGCAAAAAATCGAAAGCGCGCCCCGCTACGACGCCCCGCCCCTTGTCGATTTACGGCGGACGCCTTTTTTCAATGTTTAGCACTGAAAAGTCACATTTTTCTTGAATTAAAAAGTTCTGGTCTTTCTTTTCGACATCAATTCGCTACGAATTGTAGCCTTGGTTATTGTCTATCTAAAAAGATCAAAATATTACATATATGTGCTTCCTAGGAAAAGTTAATAGAGCTCGAAAAGTCCGATTTTTAAACTTTTTTTCAGAATCCATAATTTTTGATTTCGATGACGAATCTTCGGATTTTTCTACTTAATATCGATAATACTACGCTGAAAATGTTTTTTCACGAGCGTGGAGTGTGTCGTTGCCTACATTTTGACTTTTTGCAGACTCAAACTTGTGGACAAAAAAAATTTATTTTATGACTGATTTTCACCAAAAACAAGAAGAAACATGAACAACAATAGATTATCGAAGCCTCGGATCCTTCTTTGATTTTTGTTTTCATCGTTTCTCGCTTCGAAAACCCTGTAAAACATTCGACGGAGAAGTATTTTTTGCTCATGAGTGACTAACCGCAGAAATTATTGGTGAAAAGTCTTCGAAAACGAATGAGGGATCATACACAAAAATTTCCTGAACAATATTGAAGAGAAAAGCAAAATATTGTAGAGAAAACGAACCGTTTAAAGCCGCTTTTCGTAAACATGCATACAACTGCCGGAGTCGCTTTTTAAGCCGTGTGATATTGGAGAAATCTGAAAAATGAGGTTTAAAAGTGATTTATAGAAAAAACAGACCGAAAAAAGATAAAAAAGCCGGAAATTCTTGCAAAAAATAATTTATGTTCAAATCAATTTAAAAATTGATGCGAGAGAGTACGAACACCTTGAGAGACGCAGACAACGATCGTTGGCGCGTCACCTGCAACAAAGCGTGAAGCGCGTTGTGTCCTTGGGAGGCCGTGCATGTTGTCAAATTTTCCACTAGGCTCCATCACGAACTAGGAATATTTTGAAAATTATGATTTTTTATAGAATTTTTGTTTTAAAAACAGAAAATTCGAACTAAAAATGAGGAAAGCAACTGGAATTCCGAAAATCGTCTATTTAGTGTTTTGTAAATTCAAAAATGATATCACTTTTCGACTGAAAAACAGTTCCGCCCCAAAAAAAAACGAATAGAAACCTGAAAATTTCAAAAACAACAAACTAAAAAATCACGAGAGACACACACATAGAACATTTAACACCGATGAGGTTTATTATTAGAGAAACAGGAGGAACAAAAAAAAATAACCGATAGTAGTGTGGGTGAAAAAAAAACAATGAAAATATAACAAACGAGTAGGGGAAACAACAAAAAGAATAGCATTTTTTATTCATGGTGGAAATCGTCGGTATCCGAATTGACCAAAAACGGAAGCCATGTCTCCAGGAAACCGGGCGAGACGAAGCGATCGTAGTAGTAAAGAGAGAAGAGAACGAGCATGAAGAGAGTCATTGGGTAGAAGAACATCCAGTATGGGGAGTTCTTCCAGGGAAGGAAATTTACGTCATCGCGGGGAAGGGATGTCGGGGTGGAGATCATACTGAACTTGGTGACAGAAGTGATACGGACTTCAATCCATTCGCCCATTTTGCAGTGTTCCAGCGGGACAAGGATCTGCTCGTAGCTCTTGTTGTGACCGACTCCGTGGATTTTGTCTGGAAATTTCGGGAACTTTTTTTGGAATTTTCAAATTTATAGAATTCTGATTTTTGGAATTTTTCGAAATTCAATTTTTTTGAATTACCGCTTTTTCTAAATTTTTTGTTTGAAATTTGATGGAACGGTATCCGTGAAGATTACTGTAGGTTACTGTAGAAAAAATGTCTTTTGTATACTGTATTTTTTGCTTCTTTTTCTGCATTTAGACGTGATCGTGTTTGCAAAAATGAAAAACAACAAAGGGAAATTTGGTTTCTACAGTAACCTACAGTAATCTTCCTGAACACGGTTCCATCAAATTTCAGACAAATAAACCGGAAAAATCGAAAAAGAATCTACAAAAAATAGCTGAAAACCCTAAAAAGGTCTAAAAATTTTGCAAAAATCGAATAAAAACGCATTTTTCGCTCGAAAGTTCGCAGAGGAAATCGCTAATTTTTCAGATTTTTAGTTTTGGCGGAAATTCAAAAAATATTCGAGAACCTTCTAGAAGTTTCCAGAAACGACATTTTGAAGCGATTCTTGCAATTTTTTGAATTTTTTCTTAGTTTCTATATGAATCTATACATTTTTCTACACATTTTGATGTATTAGGAAATGAAATTTTCCGGTCAAAAATTTTTCATTTCGGGCTCATTTTTGACCTTTCTAGCTGAATTTTAGGTCATTTTTCTCCCGATTTCCGACTATTTGAGTTGATTTTTAGGCCTACTTTCACAAAAAAAAAACGACCAACCTGCCGCAATTTCCGTGACAAGAACATTATGAATCTCTCCAATGCGATCCTCAGTGAATCGTGTGTACGATCTGAACAATTCCGACATGGCGGCCGTCCGTTTTCTCGCTTCCACCGTATCAATTTTCTTGAGACGCGCTGCGGGTGTGCCCGATCGTGGATAGTACTGATTGATGAACAGAGAAGGGAATTTGTATTTTCTGACGAGTTCCATACTTTCCTCGAAATCCTCCAATGTTTCTGTGGGGAACGCTAGGATCATATCGGTCGCAATGTAGATGTTCGGTACGCTGGAAAATCAATTTTTGTGAATTCGTTTTTGAGTTCGTTTGTGAAGACTACTGTAGGTTACTGTAGAAAACTTTTCCAGTAGCCTACAGTAATTTTCATGGCCATAGGTGCCAAAACGACAGCTACTGTAACTTAAAAAATTTTTTAATAAAAAATGTTTTCCAGATTTTTTTTTCACTGCTTTTCGAAAAAAAGATGCTCATGAAAATTGAGAAATTATAACTACCGTAAAACCTGTATTAGAAGGTCCCCCGTAATAGAAGGGCCGGCTCTTCTAATACAGGTTTTATGGTTTTTTTAGGTTACGGTAGTTGTCGTTGTGGGATCTTCGACCACGACCACCGGCATTTTTCTCACTTCTCAATCATATAATCGGCGATTTGCTCAAAATGTCGTCTCGAATACTCTCTCTTCATGTCCGTCAGCACCGCGTCGCTAGCACTTTGCACTGGAATGTGCAGGAAGGCATAGACTTTCGGATTGTTCAGAATCTCGGCGATTTCCTGTAACTTGTTTCAATTTTCTTCGTCTTTCAGTATGTACTGTACCGGTAAATAAGACATAAAAACACGTACTTTTCAGTTCATTTTCGGCCATTTTCAAGAGTCTTGAGTTCCATTGTCAAGTTTCCGGTAACTTTGAAAATTTTGAAGAGTGTAAAACATACCTAGATTGAAAACTTTGCATTCAGACTTTTTTTAAAATTCCATTTTTCTGAAAGACACCCATTTTCGACCCGTGTTCAGTACAAAAAAGGTTGTCTTTCAGAAAAATGGAACTTTCAAAAAACTCTGTGAATGCACAGATTTCAATCTTGGTCTGTTTTCCACGCTCCGCAATTCTCAAAGTGATCAGAAACTAGACAGCTGAGCTCCAGACTCATGAAAATGGTTGAAATGGTCTCAAATCAACTGAAAAGTACTTTCGACTGGTACAGTATGTTCAGACGACTTACCTCCAAATGATCTAAAATATACGGTGGATTCGTCATCCCCAATCTCATCATACACCCATCGGGAATCACTTTGACCAGAGCGTTCAACAAATCGGGCAACACCAAATTGATATCTCTTCCCCAAGCTCCCAAGTCTTCCGACGTCAACCACAGCTCTTTGACACCTTCGTCATGGAACGCGGCTCTCGCTTGCTCCACCAAATCCTCCAATGGATAGCTAACTAGGTCGCCACGTGCCATTTTTGTCTTACAGTAGGTGCAGTTGTTCAGACATCCTGTGGAGATGGAGAGCACTTCGATTAACTCGTTTTTTCGCATTTTTGGAAGACTGAGCAATGCGTCCGGACGGTTTCGAGTGAGGAGGCGGACCTGGAAATACCGATTTTTTTGTATTTTTTAAAGGGGGACTCCAATTGAAATGTGTCAAAAATATGTAGATTCTTAAAGCAACAATGAAAAAATACAGAAAAGTTCGCAAAACTTCGAAAAATCGCTTCTGGAAACTTCTGGAAGGTTCTATAACTTTTTTGAATTCTTGCCGAAACTGAAAACTCCGAGAAGTTAACGATTTTCAAACGAATTTTAGAGAGAAAAACGTAAGTTTTCTTCGATTTTTTTGCAAAATTTGTAGTCCTTTTTAGGTTTTTCAGATATTTTTGAAGATTCTTTTTTGATTTTTCAGCTTTTTCGCCTGAAATTTGGTGGGACGGTGTTCGTGAAGGTTACTGTAGATTTCTGTAGACAAATAATTTTCTTTTGTAGTGTTTTTTTGAATTTTGACGTGATCGTGTTTGAAAAAATAAAAAACTGCAAAAGGAAATTTGTGTTCTACAGTAACCTACAGTAATCTTCACCAACACCGTTCCATCAAATTTCCGATAAAAAATTCGGAAAAATCGGATAAGAAACTTTGAATCGAATAGCTGAAAAACCTAAAAATGTCTGAAAATTTTGCGAAAAATCGAAGAAAATACACATTTTTTCTCTCGAAAAATTGTTTCTAAAAAATCGCTAATTTTTCGGATTTTCCACTTTTGGCGGGAATTTAAAAACATTTCAGAACCTTCCAGAAGTTTCCAGAAATGGTTTGTTGAAGCGATTTTTGCAATTTTTCTGAATTTTCTCTTTGTTGCTTCATGAATCTATATATTTATCTACACATTTTGATTCCATAAAATTTTCGATTTTCCAAAATTTCAGCCCCATTGACCTACCTTATTCCCCTTGAGAGTCTCTTCAACGACTTCAACAATTCGATCAATCTGTTTCACTCCGACAATCGACACATTCTGAAGCCACGGTTCTGATGGTGCCGCCTGTGACACACACCCAGCCATAATGATCTTTTTCCCTTGTTCCTGCCCCTGCACAACCAAATTATTGGCCTGTTGTTCGGATGGCGTCTTCACAGTGCAACTATTTAACACCCATACATCGGCATTCTCGCCTTCTTTCAGCACATCATATCCAGCTTTGTGAAGAAGACCAGCCATGTATTCAGAATCTGATGTGTTGTGAGAGCATCCCCAAGTACGGACCCACACTTTCTGACCGACTCCTGGTACCATGGAATCCACGTTTGCTGCTTCTTCGGCTGCCTTTGGAAGCTGCTTGCGAGTTCTGAATAAATCAAAAACATTAAAAAATCTAGAAAATCTTGAAATTTTTGATTTTCCAGACAAAAATTGACACAGATTTCTTACTCGAATTTCAATTTTTTTCAAATTTTAATATTTTTTAACATTTTTATTTTATTATAATATCATCGATTTTCCTGGTTTTCCTCTGTTGTTTCGTAATAATTACCGTATTTTAATGTCCTTCGCATCTCGATTCGCCACCGGACCTCTTCCGACGATATCTTCGATATCCATCGTTATTTTTACCCTGAAAATATGGAAAAAATTTTTTTTTCTTGATTTGCAGCTATAAAAATCAATTATTTAATGAAAAAGTCGTCTGAAAATCGACGATTTATAAAAAAAATTAAATTAAAAATTGGATTTAAAGGCGCACACAGTTGAATCTTGTTGGAGTATCAACACGATTACAGTAACCTTTCAAAATTTTCCTTGTTCGTTGATTTTTCAGACTTTTAAAATGAATTTTCAGGTTGCAAAAAACATGGATATGATACAAAAAGTTAAAGAAAAAAGATTATTCAAATTTTATCTTTTTTTCTCACAAAAGCGGGGAAATCTTCTGAAAATCGGAGATTCAAATTTAAAAAAAAAGAATCTAAAGGCGCACACAGTCGAATCTTGTAACGAGTCTCACCACGATTACAGAAACCTTGTTTTAAATTTCTTGCCCGAATGTTTGTTTTCAGATTTTTAAAAATAGCTTTTTCAGCTCGCAAAGGACAGGGACATACAAAAAATAACACAAAAAAGATTATTAAATTTTATCATTCTTTTCTCGAAAAGAAAAGGAAAAAAACAGAGAAATGCATATATAAAATTGAGGTTGAAGCGAATATGACCATGTAAAGTGTGGTGGGGGAAGGCTGAAAGGCTTTTTTTGACTGATAGTGTTTTGGGGCGCAAAGTTCGTAATATTAAATAACTGAAAAAAGAAGAAAAACTGGATGACAAAATTATGCTCAAAGATACACACACTTGACTAGCTCGGGGGGAAAAGTCTCAAAGGGGGAAGGCGCCAAAGAGATAGAATGAGATCGTCAGGAAAAAACAAACTGATTAGAGTGCGCTCTATTGCTGACAGAGCTTTTAAATATTTATAATACATTTTGAATAAAAGTGGTATCGTAGTTGGTGATGAGGACTTTTAGGAAGCTCATCTCTCGTCGGGTGTTCTCGAAAATGACACGTGGATCTTCGCTTTCGCATCTGAAACATTTTTGTATGCAAGTGCGGTCTATTGAACTTTTTGACTCACCTCAAAATATTCGGAGCAATAACCATTGCCAAATTGGACGTATCCATTTTGGTCTTTGCCACCACTTCCTCTCGACTCAAATCCTGTAACAAAGCAATCACTCGAACCAGAACCAATCGATTGATATCCGGTAGTAGATCAACTAATCGAATCGCTTCGGCAGGTGTGTCTGAAGCGACCAGCGCTCTTTGGTATAGATTTGGCAGGATTAAAGGGACAGGCAGCTGACGGAGCCACAGTTTCAAAAGACACGCTGGCACATTGGCATCGTGCATTTTAGGCGCTAGCCATCCGTCGAGTTGCCCACGGGCGGTTGCTAGTTGTTCTGGGTCACCGGCAACTCTGGAACGATTATTTGAAAATTAACTTTTTTCTGAAATTTTAAAACTTACCGAAATATTCCTTCTGTCCTCCTTCCTCCAGACTGATACAACAATTCAATGAGAGTTGTCAGCAGCCAAGGAAGCTTCAATTCTGGAAACTTCTCCGATTGCATCTGCATCAATTCCTCTAATGAAGCAGAGAACAAGGGTGGTCGGAAAATGTGAATTTTGGTTTCTTGAATACTCTGAAGACTTGGTTTCAGCCTTGTTATCACTTTGCTCAGCCTCTTCAGGCATTGCTGAGAAAAGTAGGATGTTGAGACTTCAGGTAGATCGAAAATTGAGTCCAGATGCTTGTTGAGAAAGTCGTTTAACTTTTCACTAATCGCTTCGGTGGGAAATATAAAAGCAAGAACGATGGTGAGTAGCTCCCAACCTCTTCTCAAACTGTCTGGCTTCTCATTATCCGATAATTGTTGCATAAGAAGTGCAATCGCTTCATCTCCAATTTCTGGTTTCTTGGATGCCAGTTCACAGAAAGACAATGCCACTTGCTCTGGACTAGTCTTACTTTTCCGATCTCCCATATATGATTGAATTAATTTAAAAAGTGCTGCAGTCTCTTTCCTCAGCTGCTTATTCTCCGGTTGTGTCAACGACACCTTCGGTGCATCTTTCGACCAGCCATTCTTATTTTTACTCTTTGTAGAGGTGACAGATGAGAATAGCGATTTTCTTGTGCTCCCTGTTCCCCCTCCAACTGCATTCGGTGGTGACGCCGATCGAGAGGAGCGTGGAGGAATGGAATCGGAAGATGGTGCATGAGATAAGGTTGAAGATGCACTTGCTGCAGTTGGGAACGCACCATATGGTGGGCCGTTGCGAGAGGAGGAGGATGGAGGATTTGGGCCAACACCACCGTAGTCGCTGTTTGCGGCCGCCCGTTCGCTTAGCTCCTCGTCTAGTGACATCCACTGCAAAAATGAATTATGAGGATGGGGAATGGCAATATTCTAATTTGAATAGATGGGGAAAGAAGGAATTTTTCTGAAATCTTCTACCGTAGACGCTCTAATAGAATGACTCCTAACGTTTAACTTTGAGCTAGTTTATCTCACTTCCCGTAAGAGATATCAAAAATCTGATTAATTATTCATCATAATATCAGAAACATTTCAATAATTGACTACGTTTTGCTATCTTTAACCGGAACCGAGATATATAGACTAAAAATGGACGGTTCAGGAGTGCAACTACGATATGCTTACTTTGAGTTCAATTATCTCACTTCCTGTCAAAGATATCAAAAAGTGATCAACTGATAAAATGTTAATCATAACATCACCAATATTTTATTAATTAGCAAATTTTTTATATAACCCATAGAAGCTGGGATAATTGAGATCAAAGGGCTAAACAGAATTTATGTTGCCAAGGTTCAAAGCTCTACGAAAGTAGGTCAAAATTGTTCGCTCTTTTTGAAAATTTCAGAATAAATAGAACAAAAATAGAGCTTCATTTTTATAGTTACCAACTTTTTCGAAAAATCAATTCCTGAGGAGATAGAGCTCCCACCTCTTAAAAGGCCTTGCGACCAAGGCGACTTCACTTCTACGTGGCACATCTCATGAGGACTTGATTTTTCAAAAAAGTTGTGTACTGCAAAAATGAAAATCTGAAGATCCCACTCCAAAGGCTTTCGGCAAAAGCACCCCACTCAAAAATTCATAAAACAATCATACCTCAAACGAGCTCTGCATTCCATTCAAGGTGTTCTGCGAATTCTGGCTATTACTTCTAAAACTGACAACTCCCGCTTCTGGTGTTATATTTTGTGCGAACGCCGTTGGAATCTTATTCACAACACGACGTACCGACGGGGACGTTTGGGTTTCGCACGTTCGACGAACCTGGAATATTTGGAAATTGATCATTGAACTTTAGGCCAATATATTTCGGTTCCCATGAGTCATATCAGAAATGTGTCAACTGATAAATTGTTGATCATAATATCAGAAGTCTTTTATCAGTTAACAACTTTTTGATATCAGAAAAAAATCGAGATTATAAGAAATCGAGATTATTGAGGTTCAAACTTAAGGATAGTCTTCTGATACTAACCTTCGCCGTAGCTCCACCCCCTTCTGTATTTTCTTTGAGTGTTTGAAGCTTGGCAAGTGGAATAATATCGATATCGATTCCTGTTGGTTTTTGCCATTTTGTGACACTTGAGGAGGCATTGTAGTAGTAGTAGCGGCCGGTTTTCGAGTCGAATAGTTCCCACCATTGGTTTTGATGAGTTGTTTTTCTGGAAAATTCGGATTTTTTTCATTCAAAGTTGGTCCAGAACTTTTTTTCTAGTGTACTGAAATTCATGGAACATGGACCAATAAATCAGAAATTTGGTATAGAAATTGAAAAAGTAAATGTCCAAAAAAGAAGATAAAACTAGACATGGTGCATCGATTCAAAATGTTCTCCTCGCTATAGTTTCTTTTAGCATCAATATTTTCGGACAAACTAAAGTAGATATGATAAAACTCGACGAGTACTACAAAATGGTACTATCTAGAAAACTGTAATTTGTCTTTGAACAAAGTTACAAGTCAAAACCGTCTGAGCTACGCGGTCACATCTTTATGGCTTTTTAACTTTGTTCGTAGAAAATATACAGTTTTCCAAATAGTACATGTTTGTAGTTCTTGAGTTCTTTTATCATATCTGATTTAGTTGGCTCAAAAATATTGATTCTGAAAGAAGCTATGGGGGCCAAAAAACCAATTTCAAAAGTAGGGTTCTCCTAGATCAGGATAGTGTCCATCGACTTTTTTTTGGAATATTTTCGAACTAATTTTCAGGTTTTTTTTTTAGTTGATCAAAATGTATGAAACATGGACCAATCAACCAGAAATTTGATTTAGAATTCGGAATATCCAAAAAAAAGTTCCAAAATGATGGAACAAGAATCGGTGCATCAGCCCAAAATCCTCTGCTGGGTCCGGATAAGGTTCATCAACTTATTTTAGAATATTTTCAAAAACAATTTTTTGGGCTCGGAAAAAAAACTCACACATTAGCACCCTCCGGGGGCTCCCATGCACACTGTCCAGTCACCAAATTCGCATACATCGTCTGCCTGGACTGTGGTTCCACAATCTCAACCCACTCCACGTTGGCGGCTCGACTATTCGTCGATCCATTCTCATAGAATTCCGCATTATTAGATGCAACCGAGACAGGACGGGGTGGATGATGATGTCGTGGTGATGTCAAGTCGTCCCCATCTTTTATGCTCATTTTATGGCATTGGTGGGGGAGGCGGTCTGGGAAGGTGGTTCTGAAAATTGGGAATTTTTGTACGGTTCAGTACAAAAGAAAAATAAAGAACATGCAAAATGGGCTTAAGCGGAGAGGAGGAAGCTAGGAACAAAACAAACAGATGGTTTAGGGACACTTGCGACGATGAAAAATCATATGCCTCTCCTCTTCTCCTTCCCCCTTCTTCTCCGTTTTCAACTAAACTGCACTCTCCTCGTCAGTGCGGAGTGTCGTTGTTGCATTGTTGTGTAGTGCAACAGGGAAAAAATGGTGTGAAAAGGAAGTATGTATACTATGTGAGATTATGCATATCATGTGATAACCCAGAGCTTGAGTCCTATTGATTAGTGCATAACGCCTTCTTCTTCTCCTTCTTCTACTTTGCGCGTCGCGGGGGGATAAGGTTAGTTTGTTGTGTTTCAGACTGGAATCAATAAACAATTACAGATTTACTTTTTATCAGTGTGACACGTCATCAGTGATGATGTCACAACTGCATCACCACTCGCTGAATGTGAATAGGCAGAGTGATAATCAGGTTTGTTTGTGTGTGTTTGTCAGAGGAGGGTGGCGGGAAATTTGAAATTTCGGGAAAGTTGTTTACTGATCTGATACTTTTGAAGTTTCTTCCTGAAACCAAGAAATGTAATACCCCTGAGAGAGGGCGATGGAGCGTTAATTAGCCGCCGCAGAGGTCAACGGGCGTCGCCGGCCTATATTTAGTTTAGACCCCTACCAAAATAGGTTAATATAGTCCGATTGCTTTGAAAATTTCAAAAAATATATAACAAAAATTGGGCTTCATTTTCGTAGTTCACAACTTTTTTGAATAATCAAGTCCTGAGGAGATATGCCACATGGAAGTAAAGAAGGATGCACGCAAGGGTTTGGCGCAAGGGGGAGAGGTGCGCTAGGGGCTCTATCTCCTCAGGAACCAATTTCTCAGAAACGTTGTCAACTGCAAAAATAAAGCTCTTTATTTATTCTATACTTTCTAAAATTTTGGAAACTATAGTACAATTTTGACATATTTTTAGTGCTCATACAACAGAATAATATTACCATATTTCTGCGCTTTGAGCTGAAATATCTCAATTCCTATGGGATATATCATAAAATTGTCAACTGATAAAATGTTGGCAGCATTATCATTAACTTTTTATCAGTTGACCAGTTTTTGATATCTTTTACGGAAACCGAGATAGATGAGTTCAAAACAGAGTGAGTTTCTATTTGAGCATTCACGGCGGGAATATGTTGTCGTATTATTAAAGGTGGGGGACATGAAAAAAATAATGTTCTCGAAATTCCGTTCAAATATGCCCCTCGAGGAGTTGAACTTGTGGGGGCGAGGATTGAGGGATCGGCGCCGCTACCGACTGAGCCAAGGGGGCAAAGCGGCAGCGGGTGCCCCGTTGCATACATAAAGGCGAGGACGACAGCTGTACGCAGAGTGACATTAAGCGTTGTACACCGTCACGGTAGAATGCATACCCTAACTCCGAAAAACCTCCGAAAACTCTCCTGTCCCCCCACCTTTAAAGAAATTATGTGGGAAGCGTTTTCTTCTTCTGTTACCAACTTAATTTTTCCAGAATACCGTCAACTATGATCTCCAGCTTGCTCCAACCGTCTCAAACGAAGGAATCTTGCCACCTAATCAAGCCTACTGGTTTATGGAACCGTACCCAAGTGACAACAATCCACAGGACGGTTATTATTTGCAGCCAGTGGTAATATTTTGTTATCTTCGATTTTCAATTCGGTTTTTTTCAGCCAGTCCATGAACCCAACTACGTTCCGCAAGATTCATATCACCAACCAGCCAACTATGAGCCGATTCCACCACTCATGGGATACAGTTCTGATATGGTAGTCCCACAGAGCAATGCTCAATACTATGTGGGTCATGACAATCAACAAGCCTATCAATTCGGATATCCGACGGACCCAGCCAATTCGACACAGATAATGGATTCCAACTTCAACATGGTACCACAGATTGGAATGAATCCAACATATGATCCCGCTTCTTATTGTAATCTTCAGATGAGCACAAACTACCAAATGCCAGCTAATCAAACCTTCGGACAATACACAAGTGATCATAATGCAACAGGAATGGTCCCGTATAACGACCAGGATTTCTGGAATTCTGGAATCGCCAACTACCAAATGATGCCAGAGCCCATCCAGATAAACACTACACATTCAAATGACCATATTTATGCTCACGGACAACCAGAACATAACTCAACTGGAAGCTCCGCCTATCATATGACTTCTATGGTCTCTACATATTCCAACAGTAAGGATATAGGTTCATACGGTCATGGTCCAGAGCAAACGCCGATAAACACAAACCATTCAAATGGTCAGAATTATGGTCGCGGACCACTAGAACAAAATTCAAGTAGAAGCTCCGCCTCCCAGATGACTCCTATGGTCACTGCACATTCCAACGGTCACCAGATGCCCACTACACATTTGGATGGTTACGGTAATTATGGTCATGTTCCGCCAGTGCACAGTTCAAGTGGAAGCTCCGCCTCCCAGATGGCTTCCATGGTCCCTGCACATTCCAATGGTCAGAATTTCAACCAATATTGTCATGGTTTAGCAGAACAGACTTCTAAAGTTTCCTCCAATGTTCCAGTATACTGTAATTCTGTTGCTGCTTCCGGAAACCAGCCAACGAATCCGATGTCATATTCCAACCAGATGATTCCGATGGTCCCTACAGATTCCAACGGTCAGAATTTCAGCCAATATGCTTATTTTCCGCCAGAACAGAATTCGAGTGTTTCCGCTCCAGTGTACTGTAATCCTGTTGTGGCTCAGGGAAACCAGTCAACGAATTCGTTTTCATATCCCAACCAGATGACTTCACAGGCTCCAGCCTCGCATAGTTACTGTAGCCAACCAGTGGGACAATCTGCAGCGCCAACCCAATGGACAGCTCCACCTACTGTTCAGAATGCCCAACATTTTGCGGATAATTTTCCAGATGTTGGACACTGGGGAGCTTATGGCGTGTCGAACAATTCATCAAAGCCAGAACAAATCGTTGCTAAACCGGTGACCACTTCAAGGCACCAGAATTCTGGAAAATATGTCTCCAGATCTGCACAGAACGCTAGCCATACCTCAATGATTCCAAAACAGGCAGCTACACGGATGAACCAAAATGGGAACTATGGCCAGAACAGGTCTGCTTCAAGATATAAAACCTCCAATTCAGGACAACAGGAATCTCGAAATTCATTTGCACAGACTGCTAGCAAGAATGGAAATTCCAACTATCGAATGAATCCGAGCCAGCCTGCTACTTCATCAAATGTTAACTACCGTACGACGCGAAGAAATGATCCAGAGCAAAGAAATAGAACTGCAAACGGCCCAATTGGCAATATCCCAGAATTTGACTCTAGAATACCACCTCCAGTTGGAGAGTGGGGTGTTTATGGTGCTCACAACCGTGCTTCAAATGACAACTATCAGAAAACCAACAATCTCCAATCAAATGGCTTATCAACAAGTTACAAACCATCGAGCACTACAAACTACAAAACAGCAGCCAAGCAGACGAGCTCCACGGGATACACCCCTAACAGAAACCACAAGTCTCAGTTTGATGAATACGGAAGATCTAGACCATCTAATCAAGGAAACACGTCTTATAGTCCACGAACCTCTAGGCCAGCTAACCAGGGAAACGGTTCCCAGAACACCGGACAATCCAGTTATCGTCAAGGACCAGCTCCAAGAAACAATGCTTATGGACCATTGACGGTTCAAATTGAAGAACAATCCTATCCATCAACTCCATCAACTGAAGAAAGCAAAAGGAACTCCAAAGCAAAGTTAGATCAAATGAGCTCGATTAATAGCTAAAATTTAAATTCTTACAGCTTGGAAGTGGTCCCTAGTGATCAAAAGACTATTGAAATTGGTCCGAGGAAACTGAACGTTAGAACAGTGGTTTGTTCAGAGCAGATAGTGTTGTTCATTGAGATGCCTGCCGGTTACTGTAAGTAGCAACTTTGAGCCACTTTATCTAGATTTCTGTGAGAGATAACAAAAAGTGGTCAACTAATAAAATGTTTATCATAAAATCAAAAACATTTTATTAGTTGACACTTTTTGATATCTCACATCAGAACTGAGATAAGATAATTGAGCTCAAAGTATCGTAACCCCTCTAGTAGATCGCGACCGAACCGTCAATTTTGAACCCATATATCTTACTTTCTGTAAATGATATCAAAAAGTGATCAACTAATAAATTGTTTATCACAATATAACCAAAATTTTATCAGTTAGCATATTTTTGATATCTTTCACAAGAACCGAGATAAATTGGCTCAAAGAAAATGAACCTTGAATTACTTTTTTCCAGCCTCCGTCCAATACTTCATCTCTACGAAAATGACTTTTGAAGACGAATGGACAATGTTCAAGGTGTATGGAAACACTCCACGAACCGTATACCAAATTCGTACAGTTGCTGGAAAGTCGTATAACCTCTCTGTAACATGTCAATCTAACGAGAAGGTTTTCATTGGAGAATGGGGTGGAAAAGTTAGATCAGGTAAATTTTAGGAATTTTTTTGAGGGAAATTTAAGAGTTTACAAAAGTAGGTCAAAGTTTTACAGTTAAAAAAAATGAAATCAAAGAAGGCTTCATTCTGACATAATAGCCAAAGCGTTTGGGTTACTGTAATCACTCTAATAGAATCCGTCCCTATATCTCAACTTTAAGCCGATTTAACTAGGTTCCTATTAGAGATATTAAAACATTTTCAACTAATAAAATATTTATCATAATATCACCAATACTTTATCAGTTGACAAATTTCTGACGTCTCTTTTAGGTACAGAGATAATTAAGCTTAGTGCTGGGTTGGTGCCGCTACCGCGCTTTGACACTTTGAACATGCTTATCTCGGTTACTGTAGAAGATATCAAAATTTTGTAAGTTGCAAAAATGTTACTGATATTATCACAAACATTTTATCAGTTGACTGATTTTTGATTTCTTTTACAGGAAGTGAGATAATTGAGCTCAAAGTAGACGCATACTTGTAACGGGCCGGGCTTTTTCCGGAATTTCGGAGGCCCGGCCCGGCCCGGCGGGCCCGTCATTTCACTAGTTTTGAAATTTTCAAAAAACACATAAGGGGGGACCTAAGGGTGTGATTTTTTTTCGACCAAAATTTTTTTTCGAGTTTTTTCGATCTTTGTAGATTAGACAGACAAACAATCCAAAAAACGAAAAAAAAAAATGGAAAAAATTATATTGAGAGCTCAAAATTTGGCTCAAAAATACATAATTTTTGACACCGGGCCTTCCGGGCCGGGCCCGGGCCTTGGAAATTTCCTCAGGCCCGGGCCGGGCCCGGAATTTTACAAGTATATAGAATGGGCGTCTATTAGAGCAAATACGGTAGTTTGCTTTTTTGCGCCCTATCTCTCCAGGAAGCGCTTTTCCAGGGAAATCTTCAACTTAAAAATTAAAATTCTACTTTTATTCTATATTTTCTGAAAATTTTAGAGCAAACGGGTACTTTAACCTACTTTTCTAGAGCTCCAAACTATGTCTGCTTTTTGCTTGGCCAGTTTTTTGAAAAATTATAATTTTCAAACTATAAACAACTACCCAAATTTCTAACTGAAAAGTTTTCAGTATTCTCGCATCAAGAGTTCACTTATCTTCATCTCAAATGTGCCATATTCATTGACTCTAACCAACAAATCCCTCAAATGCAAGAAATCTCCGTGGTCTATCGATGTAAACCAAAAGAATACTGGGATCAAATCAAGACGCACTGCCAAAGAATGATGTACAAGTACAATAAAGTGGTGAATGGACAACCGGCGAATTTGTTGAATAGAAGACTTGCTGGATTATTCTTTTCGACATTCATCAAATCGGATGGATCCCTCCCGAAGACCTCGTTATTCGGAGATGTTCGCTTTTCTATGTCAGCAGGGATTCTATTGGATCCACGTGTTCATCGACTCTACTTTGGAGACTTCTACTGTAGGTCGAAACGACACTATGTGACACTTGTTGTAACTAGAAAAGGATCGGAAGCTGATATGTACTGCTTCACGAATCTTCTCTCCCTACATCCACTTTTCAATCCATATTTGAAAATTATTCATGACAATGGCAACTGGAGATTCTTCGTGGCAACTGCTGTTACTGTTGACCTATTATACACGGAAAATGTTCATACTTGCTTCGGAAGGCTGTCTCCAGTGGAGCCACGTGGCGGTAACCTTCATGGAGTCTATCCGAATGATAAGACATGCAGAATGTGCAATTTGTATCCAAAACAACTTATGCTCCATTAATCTGCTCTTCTTTTAAAATATTTCCAGTTGCTACTAGAGCGCATTTCCCCTATTTGGTTTTTCAAAATTCCAAAAGCATTTTCTCTCTGAACTCCCCGATCTCTCCTTACTTTAGCTAGGAGTTATATTTTTTCCCGTTTTTCCATTCCTAATCTCGATTGTGATTTTTTTTCCATATTTTCCCAATGACTTATATATCGAAACTCCCGATGTCTTTGTTTGAATAAAATAATAAACCTCATATATTCCTGAAAAAAAGCTATTTGAAAATTGAATTTCAAACTCCCTCCGAAAAGTTCGACCACTAAACAACGCGCGGTGCGTTATTTCGGAGTGTCGTTCGGAAGATTTTTTCTTGTTAATTCAACATTTTTATTGAATTTTGATGGATTTTCAAATGAAGAAATGGGTTTTTGATTTGAAAATGGTTATATAAGCGAGGTGCGATAATCTGAAACCTTGAAATACTATGGAAAATAATTTTGATAGGGATTTTTCGGCAGATTAAGATATTGACAATTTTTGTAATTTTTAAGATCTCGAATTTTATTTGAAAAAATAGAACCTTTTTTGCATCTAAAATTTCAATTTTCAGATGTCATTCAACGGTGGCTGGGCGCCGCCACCGTGGCACCATCAACCAGCGCCAATGCCTTCACCAAATGGTCAATCCTGGCGTCCATATGCTAATCAGCAAGGCGGCGGACCAATGCGCCAGCCACCCCATAACCATCATCCACACATGAATCCGCAATATCAAAATCCACATAATGGATGGCTAGAGATTCTAGATAATCCGTATTTTTCGAGAGGTGTGCACCCCCCGCAGAATCATTTTGAACGGTTTGTATATAGAAATTTCTCTTTTTAAAAAGTTTTTCGTAGAAATCAAATGCAAAATTTCAACCAGCCACCACTCCCTCCACCGCCCGTTCAGCAACGACCGGTTCTGAAAAGTCCGCCGAAAATTCAGATGAACGAATATGTAAAACAGACACTAATGAATAGTAAAACCTCTTGAAAAAATGGAAAATCCCAAAAAATCGAAATTTCCAGATGCCCATGTTCCTGGCCTTCGATCGGGTCTCCAGATGAGAAATGCGATGCAACAACGGGCGAAAAATCGAATGAAGGGACAAGAGCAACGACCGAAAACTTCAATGCAATTGATGGTTAATTTCAAAGTTTTCTCCGAAAGAATCGAGCTGAGATGGCAGATTCCGGCGAAGAGAAGTATGCGAAAAATTTTATTTTCGAAAAAAAGATAAAAATTGAAATCTAGGTAATTACCTGAAAACCAAAATCAAGGTCATGACCTAATTTTTAAAATCTAGGTCATGACCTAAAAATTAAAATCTGGGTCACTACCTTAAAATTGAAAATCTAGGTCACGACCTAATTTCTGAAATTTAGGTGACGACCTAGAAATTGAAATGTTAGTCATGACCTAATTTTTAAAATCTAGGTCATGACCTAAAAATTGAAAATTTAGGTCGTGACCTAAAAATTAAAATCTGGGTCACTACCTTAAAAATGAAAATCTAGGTCATGACCTAAAATTTGAAATCTGGGTCATTCAAGAAAACATGTTTTTTTTCCAAAATGCTTTCTTTTTTCCAGAAGACTTGAAATTCATCATCACAATGCTGAATACCAAAATGAATTCCGTCGAGAGCATCGAACGACCCTGTTCATCTGCTCATTGTGAATTTCAAGTACAAGCTGGCGAGAATTATAAAGTCGAAATTCACTGTAAAACTGAGAGAGACGGCTTTCTGCTAGCCTACTGGACGCGGGAATTGAGAGCTGGTGAAAAAAATTGCTCTCAAAATCAGTTGGAAACTTTGTTTCGTTGCAGAATTCAGCTATTCGGAACTCAAACATCTTCTCGAGAAATGCTATCAATTCGTGACACGTGGCATAAAAGCGGACCCTCAAATGCACGAATTTCGAGTGGTTTATCGGTGTAAACCAAAAGTGTACTGGGATGAAATCCATCATTATTGCAACGACGTCATGCAGAAGTATATCAAAGACGATAATGGACAGCCGGGAAATTTGATAAATGGAAAGATTAATGGGTTGTTCTTCTCGGCGCGACTGCTTCCTGACCTAACACTTCCCCAATTTTCTCCGTTTGGAAATGTGAGAATGATAGTGAACGCGTTCTTGATTCTGAATCCGGAGAGACATAATTTCTACTTTTCTGACTTCTATTGCAACAAAAACATCCATTATGTCACTATTGTGATTTGTGTGGTCGATTCGGAGACCGATAGATACTGTAGAGAGAAGCTAGTGAAGTTGAACCCATTATCGAATCCATTTGTGAAATTAATCCCGCCGCCTGATCGATTTGGACAGTGGAGATTTTATATCAATTATACCTTATGGGTAGAATTGTATTATACAGAAGATTTGCAATTGGATATGGGACAATTCTCAGCTATAATGGCCACCGGAGCAGGAACGTCGAAGATTGGAGGACTTCCGAATAATAAGAATTGTAATTTGTGTAATTTATATCCACGAAAGAAGAAGGTAGTAGAAGCTGTAGAGGAGGTGGCAGCAGTGGCAGATCTAGACTCTACAATGGCTACAATACTTCGAGAGGATGCTCGAGTGGATTCTGACGTGGCAGATACCTTGGTCTACTTGATAGATCGGGTGGAAGAACGGTCATTGACTGCGGAGGAGCTTGCAGAGAAACTGGATCCAGAGCTAGTAAAGGCTGTGGAGGAGATGAATAAGGCTGTGAATAAAGAAGAGAGTCTTTTCGGGTCGATAGCTAAGAATTTGAGTGATTTTGTTAGCGGATTTAATAAAAGGAAGGATGCGTTGATTCAGGAGATTCGGAAATTGAGAAATTCCTAGAATCAATAACTCCTTTTTGTTCAATTTTTGTATTTTTAATGCACTTTCTCTTCCCTTTTACGTGTTTCTCTATACTACGGTTCATTGAAAATCCATGTCGATCGGTTTATGCTTAAATTTTGATAAACTTCATAAATTATTTTTTCATAATGTTGCATTTTAAAAACGATTTCAATGAGTATCTGATGTTTGAAACTCGAATATTTATTGGTGAAAATTTAAAAATTTTTATTTTACCGTGAACTTTCTTACGTTTTACACGTAGGATCGAAAATTTGACGTGAAAAAAATTCTTCAGAATTTTCACGCGAAAAAAGGGTTTTCTGAGTTTTCATGTAAAAAATGAATTTTGTGAGTTTTTACGTGAAAAAGTATTTTTCAGAATTTTCACGTTAAAGGTGGTGTGCGGTGAAAAATTTTATTGCTTTATTTTGTGCAGAAATCCAAGTAGATCCCCATAAAAATTAAGAAAAAATTCAAAAAAATTCCTCCATTGAGAAAAACGGCATCGAAAAGTCAAAGTGGGAACCGGTGGCCTAGCGGCCAGGTGTGAGTTTTCTAGGCCAACTGCCGGTAAAAGCGCGAAATTCGAATTTTTATTGATTCTCAGTCTTTTCTCAGATGTCTTTTAA